GCTGCCTTATGAGTTCAGCGAGTGTGTGCATCCTGCATGTCTGGCAAACTGCTTGCTCAAACCGTGTTGGTATCAACTCGTCGGCAACCCATGGTCTTCGCACGCGCGCGCGGCCTGCATGAAAGTTCACCAGGCTGTGCGTGTGCTTCGGGGGTAGTTCTTCGCTTGATCTCAGGACTTTGAGAGGAAGGAGGAGGAGGACGAGGAGGAGGAGGAGGTCGGCAACTCATGGTCTTCGCACGCGCGCGCGGCCTGCATGAAAGTTCACCAGGCGGTGCTCGTGCTCAGGGGGTCTTATTTCGCTTGGTCTCAGGATTTTGAGAGGGGGGAAAAGGAGAGAGAGGAAGAGGAGGAGGAGGAGGAGGAGGAGGAGGAGGAGGAGGAGGAGGTTGGCAACCCATGGACTTCGCACGCGCGAGTGGCCTGCATGAAAGTTCACCAGGCTATGCTCGTGCTTCGGGGGTCTTTCTTCGCTTGATCTCAGCACTTTGAGAGAAGGAGGAGGAGGAGGAGGAGGAGGAGGAGGAGGAGGAGGAGGAGGAGGTCGGCAATCCATGGTCTTCGCACGCGCGCGCGGCCTGCATGACAGTTCACCAGGCTGTGCTTGTGTTTCGGGGGTCGTACTTCGCTCGATCACAAGGCTTTGAGAGGGAGGAGGAGGAGGACGACGAGGAAGAGGAGGAGGAGGAGGAGGTCGGCAACCCATGGTCTTCGCGCGCGCGCGGCCTGCATGACAGTTCACCAGGTTGGTCTCGTGCTTCGCGGGTCTGATTTCGCTTGATCTCAGGACTTTGAGAGGGGGGAGGAGGAGGAAGAGAAGTAGGAGGACGAGGAGGAGGAGGAGGAGGTCGGCAACCCATGGTCTTTGCACGCGCACGCGGCCTGCATGAAAGTCCACCAGGCTGTGCTCGTGCTTCGGGGGTCATACTTCGCTTGATCTCAGGATGCGGATGAGGTTTCGCCCGGTGGGTGGCCGTCGGCGGCTGATTGGCGCCCCGTGCGCTGGGCGGCATCGCAGGGGTAGGCGTTCAGATAGAGGCGTCAGTTGAGCCCGACTGCCGGCTGGTCCACAGTCACATTGGTAGCCGAAGCGAGTGCGATCGATTGGATCGTCCAGCGTGGCTTTTCTTCCTATCCTACGAGGCCGATGTGGCATCACAGCAGCAATTCGGCCCCTGACTTTCGTCCTGGGCTCGGTTTAGTGAAGTGATGAACTTCGGGGTCCTTCGGTGGGGAAAAACATCGCTTCACTGATCTGGGGCCCCTGGGGCCTCAGTGGGCCCTGGGGCCCAAAACTAGTGAAGTGATGGTTTTCGGGCCTCGGATATCCCTCCACGGAGGAGGAGGAGAGGAAAAGGACGGAGGAGGAGGAGGAGGAGGAGGAGGAGGAGGAGGAGGAGGAGGAGGAGGAGGAGGAGGAGGAGGAGGAGGAGGAGGAGGGGAGGAGGAGGAGGAGGAGAGGAGGAGGAGGAGGAGGAGGAGGAGGAGGAGGAGGAGGGGGACGGAGGAGGAGAAGGGAGGAGGAGGAGGAGGAGGCCAGTCGCTGCAGCGTGGAGCTGCGCCGGGCGGGCGCGGCGAGAGTCTCGCCCTGGTGGGCGGCCCTGGGCGCCCCGTGGGGCGCCGCACGCACGCCGGGCGGGGTGCCGCGAGAGTTCGGCCCCGGGAGGCGGCCCTCAAGGGCGCCTCGTGGGCGCCACGGGCGCGCCGGGCGGGCGCGGCGAGGCTTCGCCTGGTGGGCGCGGAGGAGGAGGAGGAGGAGGAGGAGGAGGAGGAGGAGGACAAAGAAGAGAAGGAGGTGGAGAAGGGAGGAGGAGGAGGAGGAGGAGGAGGAAGGGGAGGGCGAGGGGTCTCGACTGGGCGCTTCGTGGGCGCCACACAGCCCGCACCGCACGTCTTACTCCGAGCGGCTTGCATCACGCAGCCTGCACCACGCAGCTCACACCACGGATGCTGCACCACGCAGCCACACCACACACCTTGCACCGCATTGCTGTCACCGCATGGCTTGCGCCACATAGCATAGACCAGATAGCTCGCACCGCGTAGGTTGCTCGTCCGCAGTGCACTAGCTCATTGTTTGGGGACCACGCTGGGAAACATACTCGGCGCGCATTCCTAAACGAGCGCAATTGCCAGGTCAACAGGTGTGCCCCTCATTGGTCCGTTCTGCATCGATGACGGGGAGGTCGAGACACGCGTCGGCTGCACGATGTAGGGCATACGAATCAATACCCGCACAGATAACCCTGGCATCCAGGGGGGTAAACTTGTTCTCTCTGTCAACAAAAACTATCCCACCCTCCCACCCACAACCTGCTGGCACTAATCAAGAGACCGTGAGTCCAGCTGCCTGCGGGCACTTGCTAGCGAATCCCAGCAAGCGGAATGACGCGCGCACCCTTCGCACGCAGGTCCGTGACTCGGGCGGACGGCCAGTGATGATCTCGGAGGGTGGGTGCTACATTTCTTTACTACACAATTGGCTGTCATGTGTAGCTGAAGAGCTCTGCCCCGAAGTCCTTCAACACACGGTTCTTGTTTTCTGAATTTTCGACGTGCGCGCGCTGGGGGCGCGCACGGGGGGGGGCATGGTACTGTCTGCTGAACTTGGCGGGAAGAAAGCATGTGACTTTTTGAGCGTTCTCTTACGGCGTTTCGACATTGGCGGAAGGGGGGGGGACGGGGGGGTCTGGCTCTGGACCTCTGCTTAGTGCGACTGCTTGCAAAGAGTGCGGCCTCTGAGGAGAGACTTCACCTGCTCTACTACTCCATGGGGGGGGGGGAAAGGGGGGTTTGGGGGCCCGCGCCGATCGGCAAAACAACGAATGAGAAAACGACCACAAGCATATGACTTTTCGCGAGCGCGCCTGTTGTTTTAATATGAGTTCGACAGGCGCGCGCGGGGGCGCGCGTGTGGCCCGCCTTGCCAGCTCGGGCGCAACGCTGTCCGGAAGCCCATGGCGCTCCTGGGTGTGATTTTGGCAAGAACGCACGAGCAAAACAACTGCCTCGTGCTGAATTTGATTGAATTCCTTGTTTATACTTATATGATATGATATATATATATACACACACATATGTATGTATATATGTATCTGAAGACGCTCTGTCTTGATACCTTTCGAAAGGCAACGGTTCTTGCACGGATTCGGCATGGGCGCGCTGGGGGTGTGCGCGGGGGGCAGGGCTCGTGGTACGCTTCGATGAGACTGACGGGGGGTTATGTAGCTTACGAGTTCAGCAAGTCCGCGATTGGTTTCGCATGGTTTCGACGCGCGTTCGCGGGGTCGCGCGCGTGTGCCCCGCATGGTCTTGTTCGGCAGAGACGGCCGCATACCTACGATTTCCCTGCGAGTTTGGCAAGTGCGCGCGCAAAAATCTGGCACGCTGCCCCAAACCTCCTATTTTGAGTTCTAGACTCGGCTCGACCACGGCGGTCCCCGACTTCCTTGTCCCTCCTCCTGCTTCCTGCACTGCGAGCTCGACCGCGAGAAACCGTCCACGGAAAGCCCGAACCTGAGACCTCAGGACGTCCACTGGCGTTCGGAAATGGCGACGACACACGGCCCTGCCGCTTCCAGGGCCCGCTAAGTGCACGAGGCGTTTGGGGACAGCGGGGCCCTCACCGGAGACCGCTGCAGACTTGCGGGCCGGGGGCCGCACACGTCCTGGAGCAGCGGCACGGCACGGGTGGAGGGCGCTTCCCTCTCAGAGTGGAGCTCTCGCTCGCAGGTGCCTTGGGCATCATGGTCAGAAGAAGGTACACCCTGCGAAATGCTTTAGGAATCATGGGTTAAGAAATTCATAGTCTCAGAACTTGACTAAAAAAACCCACAATTTCTATTGAAATCTTAGGATTCACATTGAAACGTTAAGAATAATCGAGACTCTGGCCGAAAACTTCGGTTTTCTTAAGCATCGCCTAAGGTGTAGTCCGAAGATGATACACGTGCAGTGCAGCGGCCAGACGGATGACAGGCCGTGCCTGTCCAGCGTTGCCCTTCGTTCATGTCCTGTGGCCAAGAGAAGAAATATGCACAACAGCTACACTGGACAGTTCCTGAAACGTTAACGATCACATCTTGCTTGCACCCCCTAAAGGTACAGTAAGGGCCAGTCCACAAGAAACCGTCTGCAAGAAACCCAACCCTGAAGCCCCAGGATGTCCATTGATTTTTGGTGCGGGAACGTCACGCTTTCTTTAGCAAAACCATCAAAACTCAAGAAACCCAAGAGGCGAGCAGGGTGTCTCTTGGCATGGGCCCACACTGTAGAAAGATGAGGGCGAACCCATTTCAAGACGGAGCTCTCGCCAGCACGGAATGTGGCGTTGGTCTTCCAAGGGGCCGCTTCGAGCAGTGAAGAAGAAGGCTTGTACGGATCCACGGGTAGGGAGCATGTGACGGGAGGTTGTAATGCAGCATCGTTGATGCATCTTGGGCTTCCTCTGGTCCCCTCCTCCTCATCCTTCTCCTCCCCTAGTGACGCCAGGTCTGAAAGCGTCCCAGGGGGGGAGACTGTCGGTGAAGGGCAGAAGCAGGCCCTGCCCGAGCTAAGTTGAACCTGCGCGAAATCGCACAGTGGGGGCAGATCCTCCTGGAAGGGGCGGGGAGGGCAGGAGAAAGGAACACCATGATGGATGAGGCATCCCTGCCGCCCTCCCTCCCTCACTCCCCTTCCTCCTCCTTCTGCGTGAGGCATGGGATGCAGTGGTGGCCTCGCCGCTCGAAGGCCAGCGGGCCCCGACGAGGCAAAGCAACGAGCTGACGGCGGCAACGCAGACTCCCTGGGAAGAAGAAGGAGCGGCGTCTTAGGAAGGCGGAGAGGGCTCACGGACACGCAAGAGACGTGAACCCTCCTGGACCAGTGATGCCAAATCAGCGATAGATTTCAAGTGGCGATTTCGAAGGAGGACTCTACGAACTTGGAGGGCAAACTCGGCACCCAGCGCCTCCGTGAATAAATTATAGGGAATCCACCTGCGATCGAAAGCTGCCCGCCTCCTTCACGTCTGTCTTCTTGTTTAACACCTTCATCGCCCGGATCTGGTCACCGACTTCGTTCTTCACCTGAGGCGCATTCATTATCCAACAACTCCCCTTCTAGCTAGTATGAGATCTATATGTCCATACAAGTGTAACTCTTCGCATTGCTGTATACATATATCGGCTCATACAAATGCAGCCGTATACACATACGTTCATGCATGTACGTGGATAAACATATATATATATGCACACATCCAAATGTGTCAGCACACATACATCTACACACATACATATATATATATATATATATATATATGTGTATACGCACGCGCGCTTCGCGCGCCAAGGTTCTAGCCACCCCAAATTGACAGAGACGCATCCCGCGTGGTGGGCATTGGGGAGATACTGGGGCCGGTTGTGGAGGTCTTGGGCGCCTCCTGGGCTGTCTTGGAGCGCTCTTGGGCACTCTTGGGCCCCTCTTGGCTGTCATGGGAGCCTCCTGCGGCCGTCGCGCGGCCATCTGAGGCCCCACTTGTGCCGTCTTGGGGTTCCCCGTGGGCGGGTTTGAATTTCTCCGGGGCTATATCCCAGAAGCTTCCGGAACCGTCTTGGGCCGCTTTTGGCTCGAGAAAGCGGACTCCACCAAACTGTCCAAAACCTTTTTGCATCCCTGACTGCACGCACTACCAAAAAAACGACGGCCACCACGCACACTGCCACTGTCGCAATAGCACTCGCGATCTCTTCCTGGGGCTCCCTGGCGGCGCATCTGGCGCCCCCTCTGGCTCGCTCCACGCGCCAGCGAGGGGGGTCAAGCGAGGATCCCAGAAATCCGCGCGGAGCTCCAAAAACTTCTGTTTATGCAGCTGTCTCTTCTTCGAAGGCTCAGGGGGAGATGCATCGACCTGGCATCGGCGATACGTCGCCGATAGACCGGCGACAGGCCCCGATAGCGAACCCGCACGTTCCTGGGCGGGCTGGGGGCTGGGCTATCGGGCCCCTATCGGCGGCGATGAGTGGTCGATCGGGGGGGGGGTCGATGTGTCCCCCCGGAGCCTATCCTTAGGTCGGGCATGTCCCCCCACAGGCGAAATTTGGGCGAACATTTAAACATACCCAAAAAACATACACAAAAAAAAGGAACAACTAAATCCTCCTGCAGAGAGACACGCCCGACTTCGGGCTGTCCCCCAGCGGCAGCGAGGGCGGCCTTGTAGACGGAGCCGTACGCCCCCTCCCCGAGCTTCTCCAGCGTCCTGTACTGCTTGTTCACGGGCCTCGCAGGATCACATCCTCCTCCTCCTACTCCTCCTCCTCCTCCTCCTTCTCCTCCAGGTGGCTTTGCAGCGCGGCCCCGCAGCCGTCTTGCCCTGCGGCAAGAAACCTTCCACAGGAAACCCAACCCTGACACCCCAGGACGTCCACTGACGTTTGGTGTGGGAGCGTCGCGCTTTCCATGGCAAAGCCCACGAAGCCCGAGAAACCCAGGGCATCCTGGAGGCAAGCAGGGTGTGTCTTGGCACGGGTCGCCACTGCACGTCCCGCTCTGCAGGCCGTGGTCATCGGCGGAGTCGTCCCATCGGACGTTCCGCACCTCGTGACTGCCAGCGCACAGGCACGAGTCGCCACCCACCGCATGCACCGCAGTGCCCCGAGGTCCGCCCCATGCACGACGACGCCGGAAAAGTCGGGGCCACACCCGCCCTGCGAGGGTCGCCACAGTCCGCGGGAAAGGAACGCTCGTTGCGGGATGCTCTCCGGCATCCGCGCCTCGCCGAGGGCGCCCCGGGGGCGCCCAGATCGCCCCGAACGGCCGGCAGAGGCCCGAGCCATGCTCCGAGAGCCACCCAGTCGGGGAAGCGGATCGGATCGGAATGCGCGTCGGATCTCGCCGCCTCGGCTTATGTTGCTCCCGTCGCACTGAAGGACCACATCCCGGAAATGATGTAAAGAGCACCCGGAAAAGTGGCGAAAAAGTGTAGAAACAGTCTCGGAACAGTGTCGAAAGAGTGTCGAACGAATGTCTCCCAGGGCCCGACATGTGAAAAACCTCAAGTTTCGGTACTTTCTGGGTGTTGGAACATCATAAGCCTCGGCACGGAGTCGGGATCGGATCGGCCGCGCCAGGACGCACGGCAGCACTGTGCAAGGACCGGGCCGCAGCGGGTCGTCGAAATATTGGGGAGCTGCTCCCTGGACCACCTCTCCCGGGGTGCCTTCTGGCCAGGATTCCGGGGCGAATCCAGCCATGGCGACGAGGGCCTTCCAGGAGGCCAAAAAAGCAAAAACGAGACAAGGATACACGTCGTTCATTTATAATCGTGCTCATTTCTAAGTGCGTTAGAAATGAAAGTGGCCAAAAAAAAAATGAAAGAACTTTCGAATAATTAGGGATCCAGCTGGGGCCGATATCGAATCGGAACGATCAGATCGAAACGGGTCCTGGCCTCCAGGCGTCGCAGCTGGGGAGGGAGGACGCTCGGCATGGGCTGGTTTCGCCAGCGCTGGTCTCGCCGACGGCTGGTTTCGCCGGGGCTGGTTTCGTCGGGGGAGGAGGAGGAGGAGGAGGAGGAGGAGGAGGAGGAGGAGGAGCAGGAGGGGGAGGAGGAGGAGGAGGAGGAGGAGGAGGAGGAGGATGTTGGTTTCGCCAGCGGCTGGCTCCGCCGACGGCTGGCTTCGCCAGCGGCCGGTGTCGCCGACGGCTGGCTTCTGCCGGGGGCTGGTGTCGCCGACGGCTGGTTCCTCCAGGGCGCTGGGCGGCGTCGTCGTCGTCGTCGTCGTCGTCGTCACCGTCTTCGTCGTCGTCGTCGTCGTCGTCGTCGTCATCGTCGTCGTCGTCGTCGTCGTCGTCGTCGTCGTCGTCGTCGGCGGGCGGGACCCTCACGGGTGGGCCGGGAGGGCGGGACCCTAGCGGGGCCCTCGGACGGGCGAGACAGTAAAGCGGGCGGGCTTGCCAGCACGCGAACGGGCGGGACCTGACGAGCAGATCGGGCGGGCGAGACCCTAGCGGGCGGGTCGGGCCGGAGGGACATTGAAGCGGGCGGGCGGGCGGGCGGGCGTGCCAGCCCCTAATGGGACCCTCGGGCGGGCAGGGCACTGAAGCGGGCGGGCTTGCCAGCACACGAGCGGGCGGGACCCTAACGGGGCGGGGGGCATCAAAACAGGCGGGCGGGCCTGCCAGCACACGAACGGGCGGGACCCTGACGAGCGGCGGGCAGGCGGGACCCTGACGGGACAGTCGGGCGGGCGGGACCCTGAAGCGCGGGTCGGGCGGGGGGGGGGCCCTAACGGGCAGGTCGGGCGGGCGGGGGAGTCAAGCGAGCGGGTGGGCTTGCCAGCACGCGTGCGCACTGGACCCTAACTGGACGGTCAGAAAGGGCGGGACCCTGACAGGCGGGTCGGGCGGGGACTTCCAGCGGGCGGGCTTGCCAGCACGCAAACGGGCGGGACCCTAACGCGCGGGTCGGGCGGGCGGGACCCTAATGGGCGGGTCGGGCGGGAGGGACATTGAAGCGGGCGGGAGGGCTCGCTAGCACGCGAACGAGCGGGTCGGGCGGGCGGGACCCTGACGGGCGGGTCGGGCGGGCAGGACATTAGAGCAGATTGGGGGGGCTTGCCAGCACGCGAACGGGCGGGACCCGAACGACGACGACGACGACGACGACGACGACGACGACGACGACGACGAGACCACGACGACGACGACGACGACGACGACGACGACGACGACGACGACGACGACGACGACGACGACACGACGACGACGACGACGACGACGACGACGACGACGACGACGACGACGACGACGGGGAACGACGACGGGGAACGACGACGGGGAACGACGACGGCGACGAAGGGTGGGTCGGCGAAACCAGCCGTCGGCGAAACCAGCCCCAGCGAAACCAGCCGTCGGCGAAACCAGCTGGGCGAAATCAGTGTCGGCGAAACCAGCGGGCGGGTCGGCGAAAGCAGGGGCGAAACTAGCGTCGGCGAAACCAGCCGTCGCGAAGCCAGCCGGGCGAAACCAGCCGTCGGCGTAACCAGCCGTCGGCGTAACCAGCTGTCGCCAGACGCTCAAGGCTCGCGGGCGCCCCTGCGAGCACGGACGCTCGTCCGCCAGTGCGCGGTCTTGTCGCGCGGGGTGCTGAACCAGAGGCGGGGCACGCGGTCTTTATGCCGCGATGCGCCGTCACCACAGATCGAGCACGGAGAGGATCGAGTAACGAAGATGCACGGTCGGTGTGTGCCCATCCCTACTGACTCCTGCTGCGCCTCGGGGCGCCTCCGGGAGGCCTCGAGTGACCTCCCGGGAACTCCAGAGGCGCACGTCGGGTTCGTGTCGTGCCGACCTTCGGCGCTGGCTTCTGACACCGCAGGGATCGTTCAGCTTCGAACGATCGGCCGCTCCCGAAACGTCCACATCGTTCCACATCGAACGATCCTGGGTCGCCTGCACGGTTTCCCCCTGGGCAGTAGGCGACCCAAGGAGGAGGAGGAGGAGGAGGAGAAGGAGGAGGAAGAGGAGGAGGGAGGAGGAGGGAGGAGGAGGAGGAGGAGGAGGAGGAGGGACGAGGGAGGAGGGAGGAGGGAGGAGGGAGGACGGAGAAGGGGAGGAGAGAGGAGGGAGGAGGAGGAGGAGACAGGAGGAGAAGGAGGAGGAGGAGGAGGAGGAGGGAGGAGGACGGGGAAGAGGAGGAGGAGGAGGAGGAGGAGGAGGAGGAGGAGGAGGAGGAGGAGGAGGAGGGCGGGTCGCCGAAGCCCTTCGGAGAAACCCTCCAGCTGGCGGGGGCGCCGCAGGTCGACACGGCACGAACCGACCGTAGCCGTAGCCTTGAGACTTCTGGGCGCCACGGGCAGATGGAGACGGCGTTCCTCTCGAGGGTCCGGTGGCTGGCCGCTTCGGGCGCCTGGACCGACAAAGCTCGCCATGATAAAAAAAAGCTTGTTGAGGTTACAACTTCCGAAGACGCACGTCAAACAACATAACAGCCTGCGTCCTCGGACGGAGGAGGAGGAGGAGAAGGAGGAGGGAGGAGGAGGGAGGAGGAGCGAGGAAGAGGAGGAGGAGGAGGAGGAGGAGGTGGAGGTGGAGGGAGAGAGGGAGGGAGAGTGGGAGGAGGAGGAGGAGGAGGAGGAGGAGGAGAAGAAGAAGAATAAGAAGAAAGATATTAATAATAATGATGATAAGAAGAAGAAGAAGAATGCTAGAACTTCCACGCGCCCCGCCCTCTCTGAACTCACAGCCTCAGCACGGGGGATAACGGGCCCTGTAGGAGACGGGTCCTGGATCCTGGCGCCCTCCCCTGGCACGATCTCTGCCTCCCGAGTCGCTTTCGAACGGTCCACGGGGCCCGTGGAGGGCCCCGAGGGCTCGAGGACGGCGAACAATCCGAGGGCCCGTGTCCCTCACAGGACCCCGTCCCGTGGCCCGTGGAGGATTCCCCGAAGAGCCCGAACACGGCGAGAAACCTCAGGACCCGATCCCCTCGGGACCCGCTTCCCCCATGGCGGGCAGAGCGGGTGGGACAGGGCGAAAGGAGAAACAACGGCATACACTTAAACTTTCGGCGCTCCGCGCGGATCCACGAAATCCGCGCGGAGCGCCAAAAGTGTGCTTATGCCTGTTTGCTTCTTCTTATTATTCTTATTATTCTTCTTCTTCTTCTTCTTCTTCTTCGACGCTGCCACCATGGCGAGCAGAGCGGGAGGGGAAGGGTCATGCAGGAGCGGCGATGTTTGACACCGAAAGGCGCGCCAGCACGAACCACCCCCCAGGATGAGGACGGAAGGGCGCAGGAGAAGGAGCAGGACGAGCAGCAGGAACAGCAGGGGACGGGAGACAGGAGAGGAGAGGCAAGAGAAGGAGGAGGAGCAGGAGGAAGAGGAGGAGGAGGAGGAGGAGGAGAGGAGCCAGGGCCCGCTTGGCTCAGGATCCGTTTCCCCCAAGGCGACTAAACCTCCTAGGAGGCCCTCGCTGCCGCGGCCGGGCTGGCCTCGGAGACCTGGAAGAGCGGAGCCTCTGGAGGTATGTGCGTACGGAGGGCACGCGCGGGTCCTCCAGATATGCCCGCTGAGACCTGCAAACGTTCAGAGCCTCGATCCCCTTCCGACATCCTCGTCCCTCGATTCTCCCTCCATCTCGTCCTCTCCTCCTTCCTCGTCCCCTCCGCCATCCTGGCCCTCCATCCTCAATCCTCCTCCTCCTCCTCCTCCTTCTCCTCCTCTTCCTTCTTCTCCTCCTCCACCTCCTCCTCCTTCTCCTCCTCCTCCTCATCCTCATCCTACTCCCCTTCCCCCCCCCTCCTCCTCCTCCTCCTCCTCCTCCTCCTCCTTTTCCTCCTCCTCCTCCTCCTCCTCCTCCTCCGAATCATGATCATCATCATCATCATCATCATCATCACCACCACCACCACCATCATCATCATCATCAGCATCATCATCATCATCAGCATCATCATCATCATCATCATCATCATCATCATCATCAGCATCCTCATCCTCATCATCATCTTCCTCCTCCTCATCATCATCAACATCATCATCATCATCAGCAGCATCATCATCAGCAGCATCAGGATCATCATCATCATCAGCAGCATCATCAGCATTATGATCAGCATCATCATCATCATCATCATCAGCAGCATCAGCATCATCATCATCATCATCATCATCATCAGCATCATCATCATCATCATCGGCAGCAGCAGCATCATCATCGTCATCATCAGCATCGCAAGCAGCATCATAAACGTCATCAGAATGAGCAGAACCATCATCGACAGAATCAGCATCAGCATCATCAGCAGCTCAGCACAATCATGCTCAACATCATCATCCTGCTAATCCTCATCAGCATCATCATCATCAGCATCATCAGCATCAGCATCATCAGCATCATCAGCATCATCATCATATCCCATCCTCCTCCTCCTCCTCGTCCTCCTCCTCGTCCTCCTCCTCCTTCTCCTCCTTCGCCTCCTCCTTCTCTCCCATCCTCCTCCTCCTCCTCCTCCTCCTCCTACTCTTCTTCCTCTCCCTCCTCCTCCTCCACCACCTCCTCCTCCTCCTGCTCCTCCTCCTCCTCCTTCTCCTCCACCTCCTCCTCCTCAACTTCCACCCTCCTCCTCCTCCTTCTCCTCCTCCGCCTACTCCTAACCCTTCTCGTTCTACTCCTCCCCACCTCCTCCTCCTCCTCCTCCTCCTCCTCCTCATCATCATCATCATCATCATCATCATCATCATCATCATCATCATCATCATCATCATCGTCATCATCATCATCAGCAGCATCATCATCATCATCATCATCATCATCATCATCATCATCATCATCATAAGGATCAGCATCATCAGTATCATCAGCATCATCAGCATCAGAAGCATCAGCAGCATCATCAGCATCATCATCATCATAAGCATCCTCACCATCATCAGCATCATCCGCATCCGCAGCATCATCACCATCAGCGCATCATTAACAGCATCAGCATCAGCATCATCATTAGCATCAGCATCATCAGCATCATCAGAAGCAGCATCTTCATCGTCAGCTGCATCACCACTCATCAGCGGCAGCATGGTCGTCATAATCAGCATCCGCATCACAGCTATCATCATCATCATCACCATCATCATCATCATCATCATCATCATCATCATCATCATCATCATCATCATCATCATAATCAGCATCATCATCATCAGCATCAGCATCAACATCAGCATCAGCATCGGCGTCGTCATCATCGTCATCAGCATCTGCAGCATCATCAGTAGCATCAGCATTATCATAAGCATCATCATCAGCAGCAGCGGCATCCTCATCATCATCATCATCAGCAGCAGCATCGTCAGCATCTGCAGCATCAGCATCAGCATCATCATCAGCAGCAGCAGCAGCGTCGTCAACACCTGCGTCTCTCATTCTTCTCCTCCTCCTCCTCCTTCTCAACTTCCACCCTCCTCCTCCTCCATTTCCTCCACCTCCCCCGCCTCCGCGTTGTCCTCCTCCTGCTCATCAGCATCAGCATCACCACTCCCATCACAACCATCATCCTCATCATCATCATCATCATCAGCAGCAGCAGCAGCAGCATCCTCAGCAACTGCATCATCATCATCATCAACAACAACAGCAGCAGCATCACGATCCTCATCAGCAGCGTCAGCATCATCATCATCATCATCATCATCATCATCATCATCATCATCATCATCATCATCGTCATGACCATCATCATCACCATCATCATCATCATCATCATCATCATCATCATCATCCGCATCGTCATCAGCAGACCAGCACCCTGATCACCTTCATAAAAAGTATCATCATCAGCAGCAGCATCCTCATCCTAATCAACAGCATCAATATCAACATCAAACTGATCAGCATCAGCAGCATCCTCAGTAGCATCAGCAGCATCACCATCATCAGCATCAGTAGCATCATCATTGTCATAATCTTCATCATCATCAGCAGCATCAGCACCATCATCATCACTATAACCATCATCGGTAACATCGGAATCACCATCATCATCATCAGCATCGTCAGTACCGTCAGGAACAGCATCACCAACATCATGATCTTCATCATCATCATCATTGTCATCAGCCGCAGCAGCAGCAGCAGCAGCATCACCAGCATCGTCGTCATCATCAGCATCAACACCGTCTGCATCATCATTGTCAGCATCAGCAGCATCATCGTCATAATCAGTATCATCAGCATCAACACCGTCTGCATCATCATTGTCAGAATCAGCAACATCATCATCAGCATCATCAGCATCATCAGCATCAGCATCAGCATCATCATAAGCATCATCAGCATCAGCATTGCCATCATCACCATCACCATCATTACCGCCATCACCAATACCGCCAAAGTCATCATCATCAGCAGCATCATTATCATCGTCCTCAGCAGCATCATCATAATCATGCACATCATCGTCGTCATCATCAGCATCATCATCAACAGCAGCATCAGCATCATCGACATCGTCCTCAGCATCATGAGCAGCGTCAGCAGCATCGTCATCATCACCATCATCATCGTAATCATCAGCAGCATTATCATCGTTATCATCGTCATCCGCAACATAAGCATGATCATCATCATCGCCTCCATCCTCATCAGCATCATCATCAGCAGCAACATCATCAGTGGCATCATCATCTACAGCATCAGCATCATCATCATAATCGTCAGCAGCATCATCAGCATCATCAGCATCACAACCATTATCATCATAAGCATCAGCATCAGCATCAGCATCATCATCATCGTCATCATCATCAGCCTCATCATCAACAGCATCACCATCATCAGTCCTCATCACCACGATCATCATCATCATCCTCATCATCATCATCAGCATCATCATCATAATCGTCATCATCGTCATCCTCATCATCAGCATCATCAGCATTATCAGCATCAGCATCATCATCATCATCATCATCATCAGCAGCAGCAGCAGCAGCAGCAGCAGCATCGTCATCGAGCTCCGTACTCCTTCCACGCCGGCGTCGCACATTCGATCGCGTTTCAGGAGGGGCGCGGGCGGCATTGGCAAGTGGGGAGGGGAAGGGGAAGAGAGAGAAAGGGGCGATTGGGATAAGGAGGGTTGGGGGAAGGGGAAGAAAGCGGAGGAGTGAGCAAGAAGACAGGGAGCAGGAGGAGAAGGAGAAGGAGGACGAGTACAGGGATTACCTCCATCGCCCAGCGAAAATGAGGGACGAGGAGGAGGAGGAGGAGGAGGAGAAAGAGGAGGAGGAGGGGGAGGAGGAGAAGGAGGCGGAGGAGGAGTAGGAGGAGGAGGGGGAGGACGGAGGGGGGGGGGACGACAGAGAGGGGGCGACGAGGGCACAGAGGAGGAGCAGCAGCAGCAGCAGCGGGAGGAGTGCAACCAGCACCGCCTGGACGGGTCGTAGTTCAGCCGGAGGATGCCGAGGTCGATCCCAGGGGCGCGGCGCCTCGCGGCGCAACGACAAGCCAGCTCGGGGGCGGGGCGACTCGCCAACAGGGGGGGTTCTCCTCCTCCGCCTCGTCCTCGTCGTACTCCTCATCCTCCTCCTCTTCCTCGTCCTCGTCCTCGTCCTCGTCCTCGCCCTCCTCTCCCTTCGCCTGGCCCTCCCTCCTCCTCCTCCTCCTCCTCCTCCTCCTCCTCCTCCTCCTCCTTCCTCCTCCTCCTCCTCCTCCTCCTCCTCCCTCTCCTCCTCCTCCTCCTCCTCCTCCTCCTCCTCCTCCTCCTCCTCCTCCTCCTCCTCCTCCTCCTCCTCGTCCTCTTCATCCCCATCTTCATCCTCATCCTCATCCTCATCAGCATCAGCATCAGCATCATCATCATCAGCAGCATCATCATCAACAACATCATCAGCAGCAGCATCATCAGCACCATCATCATCACCATCACCATCACCATCATCATAGTCATCAGCATCAGCATCAGCATCCACATCAGCATCATCATCACCACAACCATCAACAACAACAACGACAACACAACAGCATCCTCCTCTCTCTCTCGTTCTGCTGCTCCCGTCTTCTACCCTCTCCCCCTCCTCCTCCTCCTTCTCCTCATACCGCTCCTTCTCGTTCGTTCGCCCCCGCGGTCCTCCTCCTCCTCCTCCTCCTCTTCCTCCTCCTCCTCCTCCTCCTCCTCCTCTTCCTCGTTCGTGCGCCTCCTCCTCCCCCTCCTCGCTCGTCGTCGTTCGTCGTCGTTCGTCGTCCTCCTCCCCCTCCCCCTCCTCTTACTCCTCAGCATCCTTCTCATCATGATCCTCATCATCCTCATCCCCCATTACGATCCCACGGGACTCCGGCTCTTCGAGGACCGAGGCTGCTCGACATCTGTCAGGCTCTCGCTGGGCATCTGGGATCTGGGAGGCTCTCGTCGGCACGGCCGGGAACCTCTCCAAAATCTGGACAAGAACGAGACCCCACGGAGGGGTTCGGCGGTCGACTCTAAGGCCTCCTCCTCCTCCTCCGAATCCTCATTTGAATCCTCGTCCTTAACCTGATCCACATCAGCATCATCATCAGAAACACTAGCAAAAACATCAGCATCATCGCTGTCGGTGTTGTCGTCGCCACCAACAGGGTCATCACAATCATCATCAGCAGAAGCAGTATCACCATCACCAGCATCACGCTCATCTTCATCCTCATCATCAGCACCAGCAGCATCAACAGCAACAGCAACAGCAACAGCAACAGCGACAGCAGCAACTGCTGCAGCGGCATCATCATCACCACCATCACACTCATCATCAGCACCCTCATCAGCAGCAGCAACACTATCATCCTCATCACAATAATCACCAGCATCACCACCACACCACCACAATCCTCATCATCCTCCGCATGCTCGCCGTCATCATCAACAGCAGCATCATTACCATCCTCAACAAGCGTAATCAGATCATCCTGATTCCATTATCGTCCCACCTTAATCATCAGCAGCAGCATAAGCAGCAGCAGCAGCAGCAGCAGCCCAAACGCCATGACCATCACCGCCGGCTGGGCCATCAACGGCAAGGCAAGCTCGGACAAGGTGAGCACGGGCTGGGGGCTCGCGGTCCAGACGACCAGCGGCCGCGCCGAGGGGGCGTTGGGGTGCGTGCTGAGGCACTTTCCCCAGGAGGCCTCGTCTTGCGAGCTCCTGGGGCACCGCTCGGGCCATCCGCTCGGGTATCCCAGCGGCCGACGGCATCCTCGAGACCAGCACGGAATGCGAGGTGCTGGTGGACGGCTTCGCTGCTGGCCGCGCCTGGTGCTGAACGTGAGCGAGGCCTTGCGCGTTGTTCTGGCACTAGACATGGGCTGTCGTCGACGACATCGGCGACCAGCAGTCCATGCACACCGCCAACGCGCAGGCTCGTGCAACACTCCGCGCGGTGCGGGATGGCGCAATGACGCTGGAGAACTACGAGGGCAACAGGGCTGCCGACGCCCATGCGGAGCGGGGCGCTGCCCCTCACACCTTCTCTGCGGCGGCCGCGGACCGGGCCGAGCACGCCGATGACATGGCCGCCACGGTGGCACGATGGCTGGGAGAGGCGGCACAGCTGGGGGACGCGCAGCTGCGGACGGCGGCCGACGGAGACGCAAGCGGCGGAGGCGCCCGAGTCCGCGCGCTGTCCGCGCGGGTGCGGCCAGAGGGGCGCCGCCCGGTGCCGGGCGGGGCACGCCGCCGCCGCTGCCTGCCGCCGGCGGCCTTGCCTGGCCCATACAGCACCGCCGCCCGCGCTGCTGGCGGGACGCGCCTGGGGGCTCTGCGAGGTGCGCGCGGGCGCCAGCGCTGGCGAGGCCGCGCCCGCGGGCCCGAGCGCGGCCAGCCCAGCCTCGTGCTCGGCCGCTGCCGCCGGGGCGGTCGCCGCCGCCGCAGCGGCCGCCGCCTCGGCCCTCGGCGACGCGGCGGAGGGAGGCGACGAGGGCGAGGACGCGGCGGCCGCGGGCCAGGGCGAGAGCGCCCGGCTCGCCCCGCCTCCTCCGCCGAGCTTGCCATATGGTGGCAACGGCCGCTGGGATCCTCGCGGCCGGGCGGTCGGGCCGGAGGCTCTTCTGCTTTCGAGACGGAGCCTGGACGGCCTACCGCCTGCCCCGAGCAGCAACAGACGGAGCGGAAGCCGCGACCGTCCTCGGCCGCCTCAAGAGAGGGCTGCACCCAGCGCGGCCCGGCGAGAGGGGGGCGCCCGTCTCGCCCCAGGGCCCTCAGCGGGCGGGGGGGTACGCAGCCGCAGCCGCTCGCCGAGGAGGCGCTGACGATGCTGCCGCTCGGCCGCGCCGTGCGCAGCAGTAGCCGCTCCGCTCCAATGAAGATGCCACCCAGCCGCGCCGTGTGCGCTGCGAGGCGACAAGAGTTCCTGCCCGGCTGCGCTGCTCCTCCCGCTCCTTTCCTTTGCGCGCTTGAGGCAGTCACGGCACCTATTGCCGCGGCACCGCCCTCCGCCGCCGGGGCCACGCGGACGCGGGACCTTTTGGCCGCCTCCTTCCTCCTCCTTCTTCTCCTCCTCCTCCTCCTCCTCCTCCTCCTCCTCCTCCTCCCTCCTCCTCTCTCCTCATCCTCCTCCCTCCTCCCTCCTCCTCCCTCCCTCCCTCCCTCCCTCCTCCCTCCCTCCTCCCTCCCCTCCCTCCTCCCCCCCCTCCCTCCCTCCCTCCCTCACTCTCCCCTTCCCTCTTCTATCCCTCCACAATTACTCAATATGAATACTACTTTCCCTCTTCCCCTGATGACGTGCCCCCCCCCCCCGCGTACTGTTTTTTACACACAGGTTTCCCGGAGTTGGGTTTTCGCTTGCATTTGTTTTCAAAATGCTGCTCTCGCTGAGGCGCCGGCCTCATTTTCGGGCCCCGCTCGTTCCGAATCGTGCTCCCGCTGCAGCGCTGGCCTCATTTCCGTGCTTCCGCTCGTTCCGAATCGTGCTCCCGCTGCAGCGCTGGCCTCATTTCCGCGCTTCCGCTCGTTTCGACTCGTGCTCCCGCTGCAGCGCTGGCGTCATTTCCCGTGCCAT